TTTGCACAGCACAGGAACCTTCCATGAACCCTCTTTGCTCTGGAACTCCCAGTTGGGTTGGCCAGGACTTGGTCAGATTCGTGCCCTGTCGAAGGTTGTTTCTGACAGTCCTCCCTTGGCTCTCTGCCATCTTTCTCAGATGCCCCCCGACCCCCAGGGCACTGTCTGCTTTCCTAACTGCACCTCGGCACCTGCTTCCCAGGGAAACCTACTTCTCAGGCTGCCCATGGCGCCACCGAACACATGACCAGGCCTGCCAGCTCTTGGCCCAGGAGGACAACAGGAAATCACCTGGGAGCCACGGATGTGGAGAATCGGGCTTCGAGGCAAGGCTGCACCTCGGGCCCTGCCCCATCTCCCATGTGGCTGCGGTACCAAGAGCCACCCTCATACTACCACCCAGGAGTGAGGACTGGGCACCTTCAGAGAAGAAGGACACTGGGCTTCTTCCTGATTCTCGTTAAGGCCAGTCTTTGTTGAAGACTCTCTTCTTTCCCAGAGCCTGACACCCGTTATCCCTTCTCCAGAGATGGTGAGCTTCTTCCGGGAGGATTTCGTGGACACCCTGTGTCAGCACGGCCCGACTGTCCCAGGCTCACACAAGAGGCCAGCAGGGCTTTGTTTCAGCGCAGGTAGCGAACCCAGCAGTGCAGCCGAGAGAAGACGAGGGCCTGAGTCAGGGCAGGGTCTGGGGACAGAGGCGGGGTAGGGTCGGGAGAGCAGGTCCCGTCCGTGGCAGGCGAGCCGGAAGGGACAGCCTCTGTCACTGAGGTGGCTGAAGGACCCACTAGACCGCTGTGAGTCTGACTTCGGTGTCTGGTGATGCACGTACCGAACTGGGGAACTAGGAGGAGTTGGGAGTAACGTGGGGGAGACATGACGGCAGTGTCGCGTCTCGCCTCGGAGATGCCTGCAGGACACCCACCAGAGGACGTCCCGGTTGACTCCGAGTTTCCATGAACTCTGCTCACAAAATCAGAGAGAATTTGGCAACATTCTGTCCGGGGCTGCTGCTTCCCCTTCGGTCCCTCTGCTGGGCTTTCTCCAGCCCCTTGCCCTCAGGCAAGAGAGGAGCCAGCAGGGCCGTCTGCCGGGACTCCGGGGGCAGCCTCTTAACGCAGCAGGCCCTTTAGATGTTCCACGGCAGGGCCCTTCAGATGTTCTGGAACTGACAACCCCGGGCCGCCGCCTGCCGGCATCTGTTCACCGAGGCCGGCATCACAGGCTCTGTGGACTGGAAGGGATGCTGGAGGTCATCCCTCCAGCCTCAGGCTGGGATCTGCAGACCATCCTGATGACTCGAGCGTTCCTCCTCCTTTGGTGCGGGGGCCATTCCTTCCGACGTCCCCCCATGCTCCGGGGTCTCGTTTTTTGGTGGGGCTAGCAGCGAGACACACGGTGAGGCCAGATTTGGGAACGCAAGTTCCTGTTGTCCTCCACACGACAGCTTCGGGGATGGTCTCCATGGTTACAGCAGCTTCTCCGAGGGGGCTAGGCTGTCATTTCTGTGTGTCTCTCAATGTCTGATTTACGAAGAATCTGCTCAGGTAACCCGCTGGAAAGTTTCCACTTGTATACGAATATCGAGAATCATCTCTTTATACACATAGGTACACATTCAAAACAAAAAGCAGGCTGAAAGGCATTTTTGGGACTTTTCCTTTTCTTTCTGTTATAAAAAGAAATTAGGATTGACTTTAAAAATTTCAAGTTAAACAAGATTCGACGCAAGAAACGGTGTGCTCTTCAAAGGCACACGGACCACGGCGGGGCAGGGCTAACCTAATTATGTTTTCTTTCATGTGAAACAGCTATTTGCCTGATGTCGCATTTGCATCTCGCCATCACATGCAAATGGCAGGGACACTGCCTTTTTTTTCCCTAGGGCTCCCTTTGAACATGAAAGTGTTTTCTCCCGTCCCTCCGCTCCCCCGCACCTTGTGAGAGCCGTGAGAAGAACGAATGGATCATTACCTTGCAGGATAAAAATGAATATAAATTTTATTGAAAAACAACACCAGCAACACCGTGGGGAGACCGTCGTCCGCCGCTGGCCAACACAACTTCACGCACGCTTTGCGAGGAGGCAGAACCTCTCAGGCCTTCCGACGGCTTACGCTAAGTGAAAACAAAGTACAGACCTCAGAGAAGCTGACGTGGGCCACTGAGGCACAGCACACCTGGCCTTTGGAGACTCTGCCAACAGAGAATGAATGACACGGCCGTGCTGTGAGCCCTCTGCTTGCCGTGGGCGATCCAGCGTTATCTCGAGAGTGAAACAGTTTGGAGAGAACCTAGACCTTCCGGCGAGCAAGCTGGGTGTCTAGAACTCCAGGCCGCTGGGGGAAAAAAAATCTCCTATTTCTCATGTCCTTTGCGAAGAGGATTTCCCCAACTTTCTTGGCAACTTGCCCTTCCTGCTGAAGCACAGGAAATAGTTCTTTATGTCTAGCCTAAATCCTTTATGCTTCAGTTGATTATTTCCTTTTAATCTCAGCAGGCTGCGAGGAGTCTGTCTTGGTGGGACAATGATCATGGTCAGATTGAAACGGAGTCCAGCTGTGCAGATGGCACTTCTGAAACGAGCTGAAAAGAAGTTAATTGCAGGGGTGGGGGGAGCCCCTGTGCCCTCCCCGTCCCTGGTATGTCACAGCCTCCTGCCCTGGGGGCTGCCAACCTGGGGCCTGCCATCCTGGGACTTCCCAGCCCATGCTCTCGGAGTGAGGTCAGTTTCGTCCTTCCCTGGCCCAGTGATGAGTATAGCCAGCGGTCCCGTCCCGCATCCAGTGTTTCTGTTTCGAAGGGAGATGTCTGGGCCAAACCCTCCTGATATTCCTACCACCACGCCGGGCGGTCTCCCAGGCACCCTCACAGCTTGTGCGTGGCAAAACGTGCTCCGTGGACCCACGGGGAAGCGCCGAGAAGCCGGGAGAAAGCACCCGGCGATTTTAACATAAACACCTCACCGGGACTTTTCAAATTCTGCGCCACAGGCCGGTGACAGATCAGCCTGGCGGCGAGCGGTGCCAGCAGTTCTGCCTTTGGCCGCCGGGCCGCGCCCGTGTTATTCCACCGGCGGCCGAGACTCGTCCGCCGGGGAACAAAGATGGGGCTTGGAATAAAAGCCTTCAAAATGCAAACCCGAGTTTCTACCCCGAGCGGCATGCGTGTGAAAATCCACGGTGATTAGATTTCATTTCATGTATTTTTACCTCAGTGGCGAGGAAGGCAGGTGATCTTCTGGCTGCACCGACAGCCGTCTCTGCAAAGGGGGTGCCTGGTTAAATGCGAAGGAGGGGCTTACGAGGCCCCCCGCTGTGTGCTTCGCTTTGGGGGGCTGGGCCTCCCTCTCCGCTGCTGGGGACAGCTCCTCTGCAGACTCCAGGACGCAAGGATGGATGATGTTGCATATCCAAGGCATGTCTTTTAATAAAAGGTCTCCAGCAGGACTCGCGAGAAAGCCCGCGAGTGGCACGCGTCACAGAAGGCACTTACTATTTTGATGACACACAGTATGTTTCTTTCAGCCCGTAAAAGCAGAGGTGTGTGAAAAGGCTGTTTTCAGGGTGTAAAAACTCCCGTTGCTTCCCTGGAGTGGCGCACAGCCGTCAGGCCTCTGGGGTCTTTGAGCATTTTTCAGGCGTGAGTGACACCGTGCAGGCTGGGTGGCCTGGGTGGCAGGGCCTGGCTGAGGGCGCTGGACCAGGCCACGGCCGCTCAGCCCCCCCAGGGGAAGCGCTTCTCCTGCGTGAGGCCCCCCCCCTAGCTGGGAGGAGGATGTGCGCCCCGGGAGCTGGCTCTGGGCCAGGCTTCTCCTGGGCGGACTTTTGGGGGAGGGGCCCAAGGGGCACGATGGACTGAAGTGTCTGGAGCCGGGACCCACAGACGGGCCTGGGCGGGGGAGGCTGTGGCCACTGCTGGCCTCCCAGCCTGAGCTCTGGATGGAGACGCCCACCTCTGCGGCCCTGGGATCTAGCACCGTGCCTGCCACTTGTTGGATAC